AGCGATCTTCTTTTGCCGAGCCAACTCCCTGGTGGCAGCCTTGGCACCCTCCACGATGGCCTTCTTCATAACGGCTGCAGTTTCTTTGTTTCGACGGCGGCGCTTGGATGATGAGCTTTCGGAGCTAGCGGATGACGAAGAACTGGACGACGAGTCAGCAGGGGCCTCCTCCTGTGGCGGCGCAGCTTCGAAGGCGGCGGTTAACAGCCCAGATCTTGACAACCTTTTACCGTGCAACCCTAAACCCTAAACAGACCTAAACCCCGAACACTTATATGTATTACATGTATATATATATATATACAGATAGATAAACCCCTAAACCCTGAACAACACGAAAGTCCAAACTCCTAAGAGCGGTGGCGAAACTTGCCAGACTGGCCAGTGGCCAGGCAAGCTCTTGTGGCTTCTGCTGGGCTGGCGGCTCCTTGCGCGCCGTGCCGAGGCTTGCGTGGGGCTAACCCTAAACCCTAAACCCTAAACCCTAAACCCTTATGCTAGGGCCCACTCCCCCACTCCTTAAACCCAGCTTTGTGAGCTTTTACCCGGGGCCTTCGGAGTTTCAGAGTCTGGCCTTGCAGGCTTGCGGTCCGTTTAGGGTTTGGGGTTTAGGGTTTGGGGTTTGGGGTTTAGGGTTTGGGGTTTAGGGTTTGGGGTTTGGGGTTTAGGGTTTAGGGTTTGGGGTTTGGGGTTTAGGGTTTAGGGTTTGGGGTTTAGGGTTTGGGGTTTGGGGTTTTAGGGCTTTAGGCTTTGCTGGGAGCCTTCGCTAGCATTTGGCAGCCCACGGAGTTGTAGCGAAACAGTTCCAAGCCTCAGCCATAAACGCCCCGGGATCTAGCTCTTCCGCAAAATATCCTTAACCACTGGGCCTTCCTACACTTATCGTGACAAGAGTAACCTCTTTGCCCTAGAGCCCTTTGATTATATGAACACCCGAGTTTACTACTGGTATCCCCTCCCCATATTGTGCTCCGGCAGGAGCGGGGGTGGGGGGGAGGTTGGTGGGCGGGGGAAGGTTGGGGGGGGGGGGGGGGGGTCGCTAGGGTTTCAGGGCCTAGGGGTTTAAGGCATGTTGGGTAGTTGTTCAAAGTTCAATGTACCTGTCCCAAAGATAGCATAAGGTAGGTTCCCTGAACCCTCCAAACCCTAAACCCTAAAACCTACCCTAAACCCCTACAGAAGGGCCTAAACCTAAGCCCCCCCCCCCCCCCCACTCCTCCGCCGACTTCCTGCGCTTGCGTTTGGATGGCTCCTTGGCCTGCGCTTTTGAGTCTGGGTCAAACCCGAAACCCGAAACCCAAAAACCCGAAACGCTAAACCCTAAACCCGAAACCCTAAACCCGAAGCCCTAAACCCCGAAACCCAAACCCTAAACCAATACTCTCCCTAGCTAGACCCGGGAGTAACCTAGGAACAAAAGGGTGCCCTTTCTGGTTTTTTGGGATTTTAAGGGAACCCCAACCCTAAAGAAACGAAAAAAGGGGCTACTCCCGGTCCTAGCCATAGAACCTTTATAAGAATAAGATGTTCACTACCCCCTTGGGTTTTGTAAATAAATAGCAATAAAAACCAGACTTTAAATATTCCCTTGGGTTTTAAATAATGTACATTAAAAAATACCTGCTAAGGGGTTCAAGGGGTTCAACAAACCCTAAACCCCTCAAACCCTACAACCCGAAACTCTTACAACCCTCAAACCCCAAACCCTACAACCCTCAACCCTCAACCCTCAACCCTAAACCTTCGTGATCAGCTTAAGAAGCAATGGCAATCTGATTCTGGGTCCCCGAAGAGCACGGCGCCCCGTTTTCCGGATCCCGACTGGGAGTCGATTCTGAAGAAAAACTGCCCCTCATCCCTAAACCCTAAACCCTAAACCCTAAACCCTGAACCCGCTTTGGATGGCCGGGCAATGCTGCGACGCCTCGCCAGAAGCACCAGAGCTCTCGTCGTACGCGGACCTCATGGCCAGAGTTGCGCGAGGGTTTGGGGCTTAGGGTTCAGGGTTTAGGGTTATTCTACGGCTTAGGGGCTTAAAGTTTATGCTTTTGGGTGCGTGGGGTCCAGCTGTGACTTTTGTCACCCACATGCCGGCTGTACCCTACTAACACTCCCCAGCTGCTCTACCCGAAATCCCCCGCCCTAGCCTGAAAAGAATGGCATTTACCTTCATTAGCCTTGAGACACCGAGATCGAGAGAACAGCACCGGATGCTCTAGTTGGTGGCCGTTTTCAATTCAATACTACCCGCAACTCTGCAGAACATCCGATGTCGAGGCTTGGAAGCAAGAAGCCGCCACCACCGATCACCCCCCCACCCCATGCAGGTTCACGTAAGAAGTTATAAGCAAGCTAGGGCGGCCCTTACGGCCCGTAAGAACCCTCTGAAGAACTCTTAAAGATGAAAATATAAACCAAGGACCTTCCACTAGTAGGGTTGGAAGTAGGATGGCTATAGTTGTAGGCCTAGCCCTAAACCCTAAAACCTAAACCCTAAACCCTTAAACCTTAAACCCCATAGCCTAAACCTCAGTTGGGATCCTTCGACCTTCTGGCCAAACTACCCATATGAACCTGAAAGGCCCTGGCAAGGTGGCTCTGACAACGGACGCCCCCCCCCCCCCTCCCCCCCACCCCTTCCCCAACCTCTATGAGGGTTTAGGGGCCTAAGCTCTAAACTCAGGGTCCTAAGCCCTGAGCCCTAAACTCCTTAGAGTTTAGGGTTCAGGTCTCAAGCCCTGAACCCTAAACTTGTCAGAGTTTAGGGTTTAGGTCTTAACTCCTGAGCCCTACACCCTGAAGAGTTTAGGCTTCGGGTTTAGGGTTTAGGGCTTAGAACCATGCCTCAGCCCCCGCACAAGGGTTTAGGAGTTTAGGGGTTTAGGGGTTAAGGAGTGTAGGAGTTGAGGGGTTTAGGGGTTTAGGGTTTAGTGTTCCCCCCCACAACGTCCACAGGGGCAGCGGCTGAAGGTTTCCCAGGACACCATCCTCAAGAGAGCTTCAGCACGTGGCATGTCTAGGGTTTGAGGGTCTACGGGCAGAGGAAATCTAGCACTCACTCAAGCAAGGCCTGTGTTTCTGTTTGTGTGCATCTGTTCTGTTTTGTTGGTGTGATAGCTCGCTCGCTGGCAGGACTTCTTGTTGTTCTGAAGCACATGATGGAGGTCTGCTTTTTGAATGCACCCGAGGGAGCAAGCATTCAGAGGGCTGGCGACAGTTAGGTCGTGCTTAGCATGGTGCATGTGGGGTTGATTATGCCTCTTGTGTCCTGAGGTGCGAGCTAGGGACCTACCCATAACGCTACGAATGGCTTCCTGACTCCGAAGCCCGAAACCTACACCCCTAGGAACCCTCATCTTGTCACCCCTGCGCACTGCATGCAGTCCAAAAAAATGAGCCTGCTTCGAGCGTGCACGCTTCAGCTTCTTCTCCTGCACACCGGGTCTAGCGTGTAGCATGCTGGAAGTCATGCACGTCCCGTACGATTCTGAATGGGCAGTTCTCTAACTTAGGGTCCTGTCTCACGAACTTTTCGGGGCCCTTGTTGTAGTTCTGTAGGGAACCCCCGCAAAGCCCCTAATCTAGAGAACTAGCCAGTTGGTTCGAGTATGCCGAAAGCTCTGCGTCCCTAAATGTCAAGGCTCGGTGGTTCAGGGCTTAGGGGTTTCGGGTTTCGGGTCTTACTTCTCCCATAGGCAAGGAAGAGAAAGGTTACACTTTCTGAGTCTGTTCAACCGTTGGCCACGTAGCAAGTGTAGGGAAAAACCTCATGAAAGCTGCAGGCTCTTGTGAGGTTTGCATTACAGCATGTGGGGGGCTTTCGAAGATACGGCTACCCTTTCGGGGGGGCGTTCCGATGATAAGGAGTACACTATTTGGGGGTGTTCCCTCTTTTTTGGAAGTACCCAATATTCCTCCCGGGTCTGGAAAAAGCAACTCACAACTTCGGCCAGCCCACAACTACTTGTAGCCAAACCCTAAACCCTCAATAGCCCTAAACCCTAAACCCTGAACTCGAAAATCTCAGGCTGCACACCATCTCGTAGCAGGCGAAGAACGTTTAGGGCTTAGGGCTTAAGGCTTAGGGCTTAGGTTTTAGGGTCTAAGCAATAAACCGTAAACCATAAACGCTAAATCCTAAACCCTAAACCCGAAACCCTAAACCCTAAACCCTTTTGGCGCCTTGGCCTTCTTCTTTGGCGGCGCTTCTTTGGCTTCGGTCCCTGCCTCGGAGGCCGCGATCCAGAAGAAAGGACAGGCCGGGTGAGGAGCCCCTCCAAGATGTATTCGGGTTTAGGGTTTAGGGTTTAGGGTTTAGGGTTTAGGGTTTAGGAGTATGCCTTTGAGGGAGCCTTAAGCAAGTCCTAGATGAGGCTTGCTGATGCTTCAGACTGGGAAAGCAAGGAGCGAGCACGCAAACTGTTCAATGCAAGCGCGATGCTCGAACGCCTTGAATGGAACATCAGCCAAGGTTTGAAATTTTGGGGGGTCTAGGTGTCTAGGTTTCGAGTTTCGAGTTCAGGGTTTGAGCAAAGCAGCGGGTGGAGGACTTCAACACAGAGCAAGTGCCTTTTCAGCGGGACATCGGCGAACGAGCTGGCAACTTGTCCGTGCCGGCAACTGCAGGTGACTATCAGGCCTCCCACGCCGCATGCCAAAACGACAAAATCCAAGAAGGCGAAGTTCGCCTGGCAATGAGGAAGCCAGCCGTCTCAATCATCGGAGAAGCTGGATGGGGGGACATCAGGCTGGAAATCATCCTCGACCCTCTTGTGCGGAAGCAAGGCTACTGGAGTCGCTCCATGTTGCCAGAAATCATTGTAGTCCACATAGGTCCACTCCAAACGCGGGCACGTAGGTGAACATCCAGCAGGTGCTGTAGTTCTCTGACTCCACGCGTTCACCTGCACCCCCAGCACTCAACACTTCGAGACTGCGAGATGACTCGCAGCCTGACTCATCGACGATCTTCATCTCTTTCCGGATGACCGCCTCCTGGCTCACCTGACACCAGCAAGAACGCAAGCAAGGAGCACTTCCAAAGAGCAATCCCAAGAACCCCATTGTCTGAAAGCAAGTGGTAGTCCTGAACATCTAGCAACCACATGCAAACAGCAAGCTCTGATACCCAGCAGCCCATTTGCTCTTAGGCCGGCCGAGCAGCTCACGCCGCGGTTGGTTCCAACCTCGCGTGCGCAGTGGCGTTGGTCTTGTGACCGTGTGTGATCGTGGAGAGAGAGGGGGGAAGGGAGGGAGGGTGGGAGGGAGGGGAGAGTGAGAGGGAGAGTGTGAGCGAGAGAGACAGTGAGAGTGTGAGGGAGAGACTGCGAATATGAGCGTGCGTGTGCTTTGGGTTGCTCGCTTTCGCGGATCAACACAGACATCCTGGGGCCCCGGAACCCTATGCCTAAACTCCAAAAGCCCTGAAACCCTCGACCCCTAAACTCCAAAAGTTCTGAGCTCCTAACGCCTTAAACGTCCTGAAACCGTACAACCCTAAACCCCTAAAACCCCTAAACCCTAAACCCTAAACCCTAAACCGTAAATCCTAAACCCTAAACCCCTAAACCCCTAAACCCCTAAACCCCAAGCCCAGCGGCGGTTCCGACGTTCAGAGGCGGGCTTGGGCCGCCCGTCCTCCTGCGACATAGGGCTTTTGGGGTTTAGGGTTTAGGGTTTAGGGTTTTAGGGTTTTAGGGTTTAGGGTTTAGGGTTTGTTCCACTAACCCTAAACCCTAAACCCCAAACCCCGAAACTCCTACATCCACTGGAAAGATTTCGGATGCGTAGGTTCCCTCTACGTTCCTGAACTTGCTTGGGCTCAGGGTTGGTGGTTGACCTCCAAGTCTCCCCTCAAACTCAAAGAAAACAGCAGGTTACATCACGAACAACCCTAGACCCTGCAAACCCCAAACCGCCCAAAAGCCAATAAAGCCCAAAGAACCATCTGTCTTCAAAACCACCAAAGCCGAAAAGCCAATAAAGCCCAAAAAAACATCTCAAACCCCTCTCTTCTCCTGTCGTCCCTTGGCGTATCCCTTTCCGCCGCGGCCTTTGCCGGTCGCCCTTATGGCAGGCAACTGCTCAGTTCACTTAGGGCTCAAGGATTTTAACGTAGGGGCTTAAGGGTTTAAGGGGATTGGGGTCTTATGGGAAGTTGTCATTAGGGTTTAGGGTTTAGGGTTTAGGGTGCGGAAGTGGGGGGGAAGGGGGAGGTTGTTCAGGCTCTCTTCTGGCTTCGAAGCTTCCGGGATACTGGTGGGTGGGGGAGGGTTCAAGGGTGTTTTTAGGGACCCTAAACCCTAACTTCAACCCTTACACCCTTAAACTCTCAAAAGCTCTCAAACCCTTTAACCCTTAAATCCTAAGGTTGCAAACCTAAAAACCCTGAACCCGGAGGTTGCGTTGTGAGGTGGAGTGCATATCCATAGAAGAAGCAGTGGCTTCAACGATTCCACCAGGGAGCTCCCCCCTCCGTTTGTAGGGTTTACTTAGTTGCTGAGCAAAAAAAAAGGGTACACTTTCAGTTCTATAGGGGGGTTATAGTACCCCAAGAAGTGTAAAGTCATTCAGCTACGAAGTTAAGGGTTTATCGGGCTTGTAGGGGGCTCGGGGTCTCTAGGGTTTAGGGTTCAGGCTGATATGGGCTTTGGGTTTATGGGGTTTTGGGTTTAAGGCCTTAGGCTTAGGGCTTAGGGCTTTCTGCTCTGGAACTCTACAATCCCCACCGAAGGGCTCTATCCTTAGGGTAGATACATGATCCCTTGGTATGGGCCCTCAAAAAAACCTATAGCCCAAGGACACATACTTCAGAACCCTGTAAAGGAGGTAAGGGGCCACATGAAGGTAACTTCCCTAGACATGTAACCCTAAACCCTAAACCCTAAACCTTAAACCCTAAACCTTAAACCCTAAACCCTAAACCCTTGGATCTATCCAGCCGAGCTTCTGATATCCGGAACCTGCCCGGTGGTTGACCTGGGCATAAGCATGAAGCGTCATACTCCACGGCTGAAGGCTTTAGGGTTTAGGGCTAGTTTAGGGCTTAGGGCTTAGGGTTTCTGGCTTAGGGCTTAGGGTTCAGGGCTAGTTTAGGTTTAGGGTTTAGGTTTTAGGGCTTAGGGCTAGTTTAGGATTATCCCTGTAAGCTTAAAACCCTTGAAGCTTGAAACCCTTTGGATTCAAAAGAAGCCTTTTCTGCCCAGGGGCACTCACCGGACGGGAGGATTGGTCCGCGCTGGTTGTGAAGAAGATGTTGACCGACACCCGCGCTTGTGTGGGCCTGCCGAACCCAACTAAGCCGACCTCTTCGTTTGGAAGAGGTTTCCTTCTTCGATTTTTCCACAAATACTATACCCGCCCGGCCACTGCACCCTAAACCCTAAACCCCAAACGCTTAAACCCTCATCACCCTCGACATTCATGGACATCGCCATGGGCTGCCATCTTCTGAAGATCGTAAGTTCGAGAGGATGGGCAGGCTTCCGAAAATCAGGGTACCCTGTTTTGGGGGGGTTCCTATAATGAGGATGATCGTATGTTGGGGTATAGGGGGCCCTAGGGGCACCCTCCCATCATGGGAAAAGAGAAGAAAGATTTCAGAACAGGGCAGCAAGAACATTTAAAATAAGAAGATGCAGAGAGACGGAGAGACGGAGAGACACTCCAAAAGGTCAGGGCCTAGACAGGAGGGACAGTTTTCCAACAAGTTGTGCTGTTACATTTCTTTTTTTAAATCAAATACGATGGCGATGATTATTATTGTTGATTAGCTGGCATACTATGTTTTCTCGTGACTTGTTTGTGCAGCAGCATAACTACGACAACTATGGGTATTTTGAATGTGGTGATTAGTAGGTGCACTGGTCATCATCTCATCCTGATTGGTATGCTTGTGTGTATGATGACTGTTGCTACGATTATCATTCTGGCTGAAATTATCGCGGATCTTATTGTGACTGCATATTGGCTGAGTAGGAGTTCAGGGGGTCCCGAAATAGGCCCCTTGAGTTCGACCAATCCCTGGCTCTACCCTAATGTCTAAACCCCAAACCGTCATCCCACAGCTTTGATGCCGCCCAAGCCTTCCCTGGTCAGCGGGCACGCCGTGCCTTCGCCCCATCGCAGTTGCAGTTCGAGTTATAGCTACGTCGTTTCGGGGTCCAAGCTCAAGAATGCCCAGCTTCCCTAAGAAAAAGCAAGGGTTTAGGGTTTAAGGCTGAGGGTTTAGAGCTTAGGGTTTAGGATCTTGTTTGACTGGGAGCATGAAGAAACCAAACCTTGAAACAACCCCGAAGCTGTGTCCTAAACCCGAGATGATTTGCTTCGATCATCCCAACCCTACAGCTACCTGGGTTTAGGGTTTAGGTTTAGGGCTGATGTGGGAGCCATCGTGTCATTTATCAGACAGGTAATTACGGACACTTCGCTGCCGGCTTCTTTGTCGCCGGACTCTCCGCGGAATTCCCAAAGGGTGGGCACTCCAGGGATACTCAAGGGGCTTGTCCCGGGGGCCCTCAGTGGAACTCTCGAAGCGCGCAGAGCCCCGCCGAGTATCCCTTATCCCTGAAGTGCCCACCCAGAAAAGCCCGCGAAGCCTGCAGAGAATGCCGTCGAGTGCCCCCTTCTCCGGGAGTGGGCACTCCAGGGACACTCTGTGCGAGTCTCTTCGGGCTGTTCCCAGTGGCTCTTGACAGGGGATACTCGGCGGGACTCTCTGCCTGGCAGTCTCTGCGACCTAAACCCTAAACCCTAAATCCTAAACCTTATAAACCCTAAACCCTACACCTTAAACCCTAAGCCCTAAACTGGGAGTGGGTTTAGGGTTTAGGGTTTAGGGTTTAGGGTTTGGGGTTTGGGGTTTAGGGTTTAGGGTATGGAATAAGAGTATGCAAGCCCGGCAGAAGCTAGGGTCCAGGTGGAGCTGTGGGGGTGTTTCTGGGGGTTCGGGGCTTCAACGTTCTGGGTGAAGCTTTGGTGCAGGGTTCTTCCGAAGTTAGGGTCTGGGTGTGGGGGTTATAGAGTTTACAGTCGGCAGAGTTTAGGGTCTTGGGTTTTGGAAATCGGGAACGCATGAATGAGGGCTAGCGTCCTGCCGCCAAGTGGCCGCTCACCATCCAAAATCATGACATCGCCATGCCTGCAGCCACTGAGCATCCGTCTCAATGGACTGAAGTCCCTACTTGGAGGTTCATGGGTAGTTATAAGTCGGGTTATAAGTACCCTAATTGGGGTAATAAGTATGATTTCCATACTTCTAACCCGACTCATAACGACCCATGAACCTCCAAGTATACCCTCTAAGCCCCACAGATCATGAGTTGCAAACCCTGAAGCCTCCAAACCCGCAGAACATCATCAGCGCACAGCCTACCTGGATTCTCGGGTTTAGGGTTTAAGGTTTAGGGTTTTGCGGTGGGATCTCTAATGAGCTGACACTACGAAGCACTATTTTGGGACTCGCGGCTATACGGGCCCAAGGCCTGCGGAGTGAGAAACAGAACCTCCCTACTTTAGGGGTTTGGTATCGGGCTTTACAAGGAAAGATACTGAGAAAAGGAGGTGTGACCTTGGCGCTACTGTACAGGGAGCAAAACGGGGAGAATTTCACACCCGTCTTATCTCCAAGTCACACCGACTCTACCAACAAGGAAAGAAATGGAAAACATTCCGTCATCAGGTCCCATGGTCATGTCCACATTTCGTGGTGTATCGATTCTGTTCACATTTCGTGAGTATAAGAAGTTGTATGTATCCGTAGCCTGTCGTTGCCATCCCATAGCCATTGTACTGTAGTCTTCTCCTGTGGTTTGTCATTCTGCTCGGTTCGATGGAGCTACCATCCGATCATTGCTGCACCTTTCGAATCATGTCATGTCCGGACTGGATTCGTTGTCTTGTACAAATATGGAACGTAACTTCGGGCGTTCGAACACAAGCTCCGATCCATGAGTCTATGCTCCATTGCCCATGGCGGTACTTTCTTCAAGCAAGTTGTGGACCCAACAATGGAGAGTGAAGGAGGATAACAAAAAGAATAGTTCACCGTTTCGGTGACATAACTGATACGGCATGTAGTCGGTCGATCGTGTCGACTGCGCCATGGATGTTTTTCGCCCGTCTTATCTTTGATATCACATTCTTCTTCTCCGTGTCGATCGATGTTTCCTGTGCGTTTTCGCAAACGTAACTCTCGTCGAACGACGCAGGATCGAAAAGCACAGAAGAGAACACGGACATCCAGCGCCGCAAAGCCCTTTATCACTTGCTGCAGAGCTCGGATCAGAGCTTCCTCGCGGCACGAAGCTGTGCAAATCGTGGCTGGCAGGTTCCGCTGCTCCGTGAACTACCACGAAAGCATGTCTCGCCTGCGGCAGGCGGCAGAGCTACATGTTACATTCTGCACAGGTCATCTTCTGCACAGGTTCTCCTTTTAGGAAACAACTGCAGCACTTGACACAAGCTTGCGAGAAGCTTCAAGGCGTTGAAGAATTGCTTCCAGCCCCTGAAATGCAAACAGCTGGTTAGCTTAGGGCTCGCGCAGCCGAAGCTGCGTCCACTTCGCTGCCAGCTCAGGCCGCGTAAGTGTTGAATCACAGGCCAAGGACGTAGCAAAAGTGAGTGGTACGCCACCAACCTCGCGAGACGCAATGATGTGCTTGCAGCCCTTTTCAGCTGAAGTGATGATGATCTCGCGTCCGCACGTGTGCCCCTAAGCCCGAACTCACCGACGGCCTGCTTTTCCCTGCCAGCCAAAGCCACCAAAATCCCGTTGGTTTCCGACAGAGCACGCGTCAAAAGACGATCGCCCAAGCAAGTCGCCAAAGTAGCGAGGGGCGCTTTGGCCGTCGCCTGTGAGGCGGCGGCGCTTTGGCCGCAGTTTAGGGTCTAGGGTTTAAGGTTTAGGGGATCGGGAGGGTTTAGGGTTTGCTGTGATAGGGCGTAGGTGCTGTGAAGGTTAGGTTTCGGAACAAGCTCGAAAGCTTCGTGAGGCGCGAAGAGCAGCTTTGGCCCGATTGCGGAGGGCCATCTAACACTTTTCTTCCGCCCCACCAAAGCCACCTAAACGTATTCCCTTTAGGGGTTAGGCCTAAACTCAAGAACGTTCGGGGTTGGGTCCGAGAGTCACCCGGGGTTCAACCCTAATCGCCTTTCGGCACCGCTTGCTTGGGAGTCTCCCTCGGTCTCGGCAATCCAGCCTTCTGGATAGAGGCCTTAGCGACAGCAAGTGAGGCTGTCGGGGTTACCTTCTCCCTTTGAGTAAACGTCGCACGGGTGAAATCTTCGCCGTCCGACTGTGTTTTTCACAGTCTGCTTGAACTCATCCATGACCTGCGCCTCATGCGTTCACGATGCTGCAGCACACGAGCCTGGGTTCTAAACTTCCAGTCGTGAAATCCGGAGGCTGTGCTGGCATATATATATATATATATATAGAGCTGCCCGACTTGGTTTCAAGTGGGGCCCAAGGCCTGCGGGTAGTGCGGAGTGAGAAACAGAACCTCCCTATTTTAGGGGTTTGGTATCGGGCTTTACAAGGAAAGATACTGAGAAAAGGAGGTGTGACCTTGGCGCTACTGTACAGGGAGTAAAACAAGGAGAATTTCACAAGGGTTTAGGGTTTAGGCAGGAACCTCGGACGGGACCAGAGTACAAGACCCATGGTGTGGGGCATGGCGTGCCCATCGACCGGCCTCATGAGTATCTTCTCGCCCTCCACAGCAACAAACCTCTCCACAGGCAAAGATCCAGCGTTCGTAGGGTTACTTGGAGGTTCATGGGTAGTTACACTCAGGGTTATGAGTACCCTGAGTAGGGTAATAAACATAATTACAATCCTTCTAACCCGACTGCAAACTACCCCATGAACCTCCAAGTAGGTTTGTTTGGGATGAAGTTGCATGGGCTTGGGGATGTGGGGTTTGGGGTTTAGGGCCGGAACCCGTATAATAAAAGGGAGAAGGGAAGGGGGCGAGGAGGTAAGGCACCCCGAAGCCCTAAACCTTCCCGATCCAGCCTTTCTGCACCCAGTGACAAAGTCAGCTGCCGACAGTCGTGGACGTGATTCGGGCAGGCGTCCTGGAACCCAAGGGGCTAACCCTAAACCCTAAACCCGAAACCCTAAACCCCAAATTCCGACTATTACTATGCCACGTTTGATAAAACCCACAAACACGGACCCTCGACCCGAAGCCCTTTAGGCCGGTTGCTTCAGAAGATCTCACCGGAATTGCAGGCGAAAGAGAAGGCCGTTAGGACCTTTTGAGGTTTAGGGTTTAGGGTTTAGGGTTTGGGGTTTAGGGTTTAGGGCTTAGGTTTTAGGGTGTAGGGTTTAAGGGTTCTAGCCCTTGAAGCCTATGAGCCCGAGCAAAAAAATACCCAAAAGGAAAAGGACTCTATCAACAACTCCCCTAGGCCCTACGTAGAGGGGCCTACTTTGCGAAGGGAAGACTTCTCTGTTGGCCCTCTTTTGGGTAGTCTTTGATAATCTTGGTCAGCATTTAAGGACATGAAGTTTAATCAGGGCGTTTAGGGGCAAAGGGAACACAAATCCCAAAAAACCGCCGGCGTCCTGACCATCCTCGTAAAGGCACCTCCAGCGCTTGATGCTGGAGAGTTTTTTTTTAAGGGTTAAGGGTTTAGGGTATTTAGGGGGTATTGCGTGACCAGGATTCTCCAATACCAAAATAGCGCCGCTGTTCTTGGAACATGACCAGCACCTTATCGTTTTATGGCCCTTTCTGCAGAAAAGAACCCTGAACCCTTCACCCTCAATTGCCAGAAAAGAGTGTCAATGTAAGGGAACTTGGAACGACAAAAAGAATTTCAAACAAAAAGGAGGAAAGGCTACGACTCTTATAACCCTATACCCTAAGCCCTAAACCCTGAACCCGTACTTAGGGAACATTCTAGCCCTACCAAAAACAAGGCCCAGGCACAAGAACGCCTGCATTGGCACGACGGCATGGCCCGCGTGGTCGGACTCAAGTCGCCCGAGCCTGGGTGTCCCTAAACCCAAAATACACCCTGAACCCTAAACCCTAAACCCTAAACCCGAAACCCTAAACCCTAAATTCTAGCCCTAAATCCTAAATCCTAAACCCTAAACCCTATATAAACCCACACACGAACAAAGAGACCAGCCCAGGCACAGCTTTTGAATCAGGTTGCCAGCGAAGCTCCTTGGCGGCTTCAGGGAGCGGGGGTGGGGCCTCTTCTCGGCTTTGGGCTTCTTTGAACTCTCGTATGCTGCTGGTCTCATGGGTTTAGGGTCTATAGGGTTTAGGGTTTCAGGGTTTACTTGAATGCTTACCCTCGACCCCAAAACCCTGAACTTGAACGAAATTCCGCCAAAACGCGTTTCAAGCATGGCCAGTTTGAGGCTTTCTTCCGCTTCGTGCGGAGCTTGCGGCTTGCGCCACAGCGTCATGATAGGGTTTAATAGGGTTTCGGGATTAGGGTTCAGGTGCAGACTTCCCCAATGCCCAAAAACTACGGGGTCTAAGCTGTCAACATTGCACCCCCAAAATACAACTTCACTCCCATTGTAGGAGCAGTAGGGTTTAGGGTGTAGGGTTTAGGGTTTAGGGTTTAGGCCCGCTGCTGGCCAGGCGGCAAGTGGGGTGGCGGTGGCTTGCTGCAGTCACCATCAAAAGTATAGGACCCATCGCCTCAGATGCAGCGACACGATCTGCTGCAGCCCTGAGACTCAGAAACTCTGTAATCCCAGTAAGCCCAGCTTCAACCCCAACACACACTGATCGCGCATCAGCGCAACTCACAAAAAGCCCCTTGGGTTCGTAGGGCTTGTGAAAGCAGGGTATAGGCGCAAACCCTAAAACCCCAAACGCTGAACCCTGAGGCTAGAACTAACCATCTTGATGCCCGTGTTCCTCCTCTCCCAGAACTCATATGCCGAGTTGCAGAGCCGTCGTGCCGTGCGAGTTTGAAGCTCCCGCCATCCGGGGCTTTCGAGGAAGTTCGCGAACGCCTCTGCTCGACCGAGTCGCGTTTAGGGCGTAGGGTTTGGGGTTTAGGGATGTCTCCAGTCTGCGGTTTCTGGCCCAAAGCGTGGCCGCTCAGAAAAAGAGAAAGAGGTTCTTGCACACAGCAGAGTCCTTGTATCGCAGCCTGATAACGATAAAACTCTGAACCCTAAACGCCATTTAGTCGTTGCTCTCAGGTTTTGGAGCCCCTGGTGACGCAGACGCCTCGTCGAGCTCTGCAGTCGTAGCCAGGCCCTCTTGCGTGGCGTTGAAGACCTGCACGCTGCGCAGGGAACTCAACAGACAACTTCAACCACTTCAGCTCTGCATCCGTGGTTACATGGTCCCTTGCTTACAAAAAAAAATATATATATATATATTCATACATATACCCCATAAAACTGAAGAGAACCATGCTGCAGAACCCTTTAAAGAAGGTAAGGGACGACTGATGCCTTACCTTAAAACTAGGACAGGTGCTGACGCGTCAACCGCCCCTTTGCTACTTTGGAGTAGACCCTGGAAAAAAAGTATGTACTTTTCAGGTAGAAGTAGCTACAAGAGGAACCCAGAACCAAAAAAAAATGGTATTCAAGTATAGTACTTTAAAACCCAGCTTTTGCTTCAAGGACCGTAACAGGCAGAGCACAAGGCCAAGCGAAGGCCTGGACGACCATGCGAGCTCAGACCCCGGAACAGCGCACTTGCGGCATGGATGCTGAGGACTACCTGGCGACCTCTTCGGGCTTCAGAGGGTGCTGGGCTTGATGGGTTCTAGGGCTTAGGGTTTATAGGGTTTTAGGGTTTAGGGCTAGGGTTTAGGGATGTTCAGGGTTTAGGGTCTTAGAATCTTCGGCTTTGGGTCTCAGACGTTTAGGTGGCGGAGTTGGCCCTTTGGGCAGGAACAGCTGCGGGAGCCGAGGGCTCTGCTGTCCAGGCTTGAACCCCGAGGCAACTCACATGTCTAGCACTTATCATTGTTTTGTGTGGGTTTAAGGTTTAGGGTTTCGGGGTTAGGGTTTAGGGGTCATTCAGAAGACCATACTTGGGGACTAGTTAGCATTGTTTTTTGAAATGCAGGCAAACTACACATGACACTTGCTAACCGAAGCTCCTCTTGCTTGATGTCTTGAAAACGCGGACAGACACAGAGGACGATGATTCTTGAAGTCTTGCCAGCTATGAAATCTTAATTGTTTGGATCACGAGGCATTCGTTCCGACCAGGATGCCCCCCCGTGCATTGTTCAGGAGTCTTCATGCCTTTAGAACCTCCTCAAGCCTGAGGTTTAGGGTTTAGGGTTTAGGGTTTAGGGTTTAGGGTTTAGGGTTTAGGGCTAGCCCTACACCTCACAGCTTCAATCTCAACCCCCCAACCCCCGAAGCACTGAACCCGAAACGGTTCCGATACTCAAACTGCTACAAGTAGACGCCCGAAACAGCCGCGTGCTTCGTCGCCTTCAACAGTTGCAATCTTTTCTGAAAGCCTTAGCCCTGCGAGGGTTTAGGGTTTAGGGCTAGGGTTGAGGGTTTACTGTTTAAGGTTTATATAGGGGTTCAGGGTGCTTGGGCTGGCGCCGAAGCGTCCGCTGAGGGCAGCGTGGCGAAGGGGTCGTAATCCTGGGGCGCCAAATGGGTTGAGGGTTTAGGGTTTATTTAGGGCTAGGGTTTAGGCTTCAGGGTTGAGGGTTTAGATGTTTTAGGGTTTCGGGGTTCAGTGCTTTTGGGCCAAAGACGCTGTCGTGTTCGCCTCTGAGTCTTAGGTCCGGAGGCTTCGCCTGTAGCCATGAGTAGAGGATCTACTTGGAGGTTCAGGGTACTTACTAACCCAATACTAACTGTGCTTCTAACCCAATTATAACCGTATTAGGGCCCTTACGGGCCTGATACGTGGGTTATAAGTACAGTTATCCTCAACCCTAAACCCTAAACAGTAATCATTGGTTCATAAGTACCATGAACTGGAGCGCGACCTCCAGGAGGCAGATCGACACCTGAACCCTTAACCCGAAGCCCTAAGCCCTACACCCTAAGCCCTAAACCCTAAACTAAATAGGAAGCCCCAAACGCCGCCTTACAAGCCCTTGACAGACTCCGAATCGCCCCATGTGCAAGCCCTGAAAAGTCCAAAAAATAGGGGTGTTGGGGTTTAGGGTTTAGGGTTTAGGGTTTAGGGTCCAAAAACTTTCCGGCCCAATCCCGTTAAACCTGAACAGCCTAGCAAGCCATTAAACCTCAACCCCACCGCCGCACGCCATAAACCCCAAACAAAGACTAAGCATTGCGATTGTATTTCACTTTTTGCGGATCAGCTTTCCTTGTGGGCGCTCCTTGAGTACATCCTAAACCCGGCCCTAAACCCTAGACACCCTAAACCTCCTAAACCTCCTAAACCTCCTAAACCCCTAACCCCTAACCCCTAAACCCTAAACCCCAAACCCCAAACCGCAAACCCTAAACCCCAACCCCAAACCCCAAACCCCAAACCCCAAACCCCAAACCCCAAACGGCAACCCCTAAACCCCAAACCCTAAACCCTAAACCCCAAACCCCAAACCGCAAACCCTAAACCCCAAACCCCAAACCCCAAACCCTAAACCCTAAACCCTAAACCCTACGAAACCGGAGGGCGGGCGGCTCTGCCTCCTCCACTTCTTCTGGCTCCTCGCCAGGCTCCCGGATGTCCTGTGGAGCTTTGGTTTGGGGTTTAGGGTTTAGGGTTTAGGTTTAGGGTTTAGGGTTTAGGGTTTAGGGTTTGGGGTTTAGGGTTTAGGGTTTAGGGTTTAGGGTTTAGGGTTTAGGGTTTAGGGTTTAGGGTTTAGGGTTTTGGGTTTAGGGTTTAGGGTTTTAGGTTTAGGGGTTTAGGGTTTAGGGTTTAGGGTTTAGGGTTTAGGGTTTAGGGTTTAGGGTTTAGGGTTTAGGGTTTGGGGTTTGGGGTTTGGGGTTTAGCGTTTAGGGTTGAGGGTTTAGGGTTTAGGGCTTAGGGTTTAGGGTTGAGGGTTTATGGTTTAGGGTTTAGGAGTTAGGATTTAGGGTCCGGTTGAGGGTTTAGGTTTTGTCAGAGCCCACCGGGTTTCAGGGTTTGAGGACTTTATGGTTGCAGGGCTTTAGGGTTTAGGGTTTTGGGGGCTTGAGAGAACGAGGGTTTTGGGATTACGGTATTATGGCTTTAGGGTTTCAGGCTTGTAGTGCTTTATTATGTTTTGCGGCTTACGGCTCACTCAGGCCTACGCCAACAGAGCTTTTGACCTTCGATTCCATGTGGGGATCCGGGATCTTCTGCGAACCTCGCTGTGCGGAAGTTGCTCCATGCACCAACATAGGTCCCCTCAACCCCCAAACCTGAAAAAGTTTAACCCTTAGATAGGGCCCATGAACAAATCATCCTCTATTCCTTCTAGTTTAGGACCCCAAACCCTAAACCCTAAACCCCTTTGGAGAGCAAGCCTGCGGCTGGAGGTTGAGCATGATGCGGAGGCGGAAAACGTCTCCGGCGTTGAGCGCCTAGCTCCGCTTCGGGGTTCAGGGTTCAGGGTTCAGGGTTCAGGGTTCAGGGTTCAAGGTTCAGGGTTCAGGGTTCAAGTTTCAGGTTTCAGGTTTCAGGTTTCAGGGTTCAGGGCCTGTTCAGGGTGTACAGTTTAGAGTCTAGAGTTTCGGTCTAGGGTTTGGGGTTTAGGGTTTAGGGCTTTGCGGCTGCCACGGGAAATGGCGGGGGAGGGGAGGGTGAGGGTCTAGGGTTACCAGTTGCTTGTTTTTTTTTGCGGGGGGGGGGGAGGGGGGGGGTGGTCGGGGCTGAACGCCTGGCACCAGGAACGAAAAATCAGAGAGAAAGATGACTGAAGATGCACAGGCAAAACAATGAAGTACAGCAGCGAGCCTGCGCCCTACTTCTCCCAAGCAAAGGAGTTTTTGGGCTCCTTGGTTTAGGAGTTTAGGGCTAGGGTTGAGAGTGTAGGGCTTAGAGCTTAGGGTACAGTCGCCTTGAAAACCCTCCAACTCAACCAGCCTTGTCAACCTCAGCCAGCTTGTCCATGTCTGTCGCCTGGATGACAAAAAAAAGTGCTGGCAATTAGGGCACCACGGTTTGCTTTCGGTGTTTTCCTAGACCCGCGAGTAACCTAGGAATAACAAGGGTGCCCTTTTTGGTTTTAGTATTAAGGGATTATAAGGGAACCCCAACCCTCAAAAAAGGAAAAAAGGGCCTACTCCCGGTCCTGTTTCATCAGGACTTGAAGAAGTCATTACACGGCTTCGGATCAAGGCTGAAATGGGGCCTTGTTCTAACACGTACATGCAGAGTTCAAGTTGGGTCATGGAATCCTGAGACCCTATTGTGGTTTAGGGTTTAGGTTAAGGTTTAGGGGGGCACAACCTAACCCCCCCCCCCCCCCCCCCCCCCCCCAACCCCAACACATTCTTCTTCAACCTTGACATTGAGGCTGTTGTGTTCATTGTTCGCAACCAGCGACCCTCAAACCCTCAACACTAACAACACTAACCCCCAAGCCCTAAACCGCCCTAAACCCTAACCCTAAACCCTAATCCCTAAACCCTAAACCAGGTGCCCACCTGCTCGATGTAGCTGCGCACCTTAAAGAGGCCGCCGGGCGTCAGCACTTGCCTCGGGCTTCTCTTCACCCTGATGTGGGGAGTAAGTATATCAGGGTTTAGGGTTTAGGGTTTGGGGTTCAGGGGTCTGGGGCCGGAATAACTACTAATCATATTCCCTTATGGTCCCTTTGAAGCTACATCATCACCCTCAAAGCCCTATTCATCAAATGCAACGGCTGGGGAACACGCAGAGACCCCACGTGATACAGCCTATGTGGAATGCTAATGAGCAAGGTTATGTTTGCTGCAAACTCTTCCAGTTCTCTGTTGAGCCACGAGCTCTCACGAGAACTTGCCCGCGGGCTACCGACCTTGCAGATACGACCTACCACGAATGGCACAACTCTTTCGTTGCTATTGAAGCTTCTTTACAACGCATTCTTCACATCCTCTAAAGTATGAGTCTTGAATGGTATTCTTGTGACTGTACAAAACACTCTGTTTCACCTTCGACTTCGGTCCGCAGAATCCCCAAAGCCCTATTCTACTTCAAACAGGCCGGCCGCTCAGGCCCAGCAAGGGGCCAGCTGATGCTGCTGATGCTCGGTTTGTGCGGCTTGGTGCTCGCCTTGTCGGGCCGCTCAAGCCCAGCAAGGGCCAGCTGATGCTGCTGATGCTCGCTTTGTGCGGGTCAGGCGCAGCAAGGGACCCAACTGATGCTGATGATGCTCGCCTTGTCGGGCCTGATGCTGCTGATGCTCGCATTGTGCGGCTCAGGCGCAGCAAGGGGCCCAACTGATGCTGATGATGCTCGCCTTGTCGGGCCGCTCAGGCCCAGCAAGGGGCCAGCTGATGCTGCTGATGCTCGGTTTGTGCGGCTTGGTGCTCGCCTTGTCGGGCCGCTCAAGCCCAGCAAGGGCCAGCTGATGCTGCTGATGCTCGCTTTGTGCGGGTCAGGCGCAGCAAGGGGCCCAACTGATGCTGATGATGCTCGCCTTGTCGGGCCTGATGCTGCTGATGCTCGCATTGTGCGGCTCAGGCGCAGCAAGGGGCCCAACTGATGCTGATGATGCTCGCCTTGTCGGGCCGCTCAGGCCCAGCAAGGGGCCAGCTGATGCTGCTGATGC